AAAAAATTTGACCGAGTTCACAATTTAACTCAAAATTTCAACCAGACTCCCCCCTTAAGGTCGATATCCATTCATGATATCTACTAGTAATGTTCGTGTCAAGATGCGCGAAATAATCTTCCAGTACGGTTCTTTAATTCCCCTCGGTGCTGCGGCTCCCGAGTAAATTGAAGAACGAGATTTGTGCTATTTTTCTGGAAGAGGACAACTTGAACTGTCTAATGGACTCTTCGAAAATACCAGAAGGTAGACTAATAATTCGTTTACCGCTTACAAGTTGTCATAGTAGTCACAATCATCGTCATTATCGCTGTCGGTATCATAACTTTTAATTAATATAAATTATTACTTTTTTCATCCATAGGTTTGTTGCTTGGGTGCTGTGGGATTTACATGCTGGCTTATGGAGGCGGCCATTGCTTGTTTTTGGGCAGTAAAAAACAGAAGCGGCATTCAGGGTGTGGCACCCCAGGACATTCCTTGGACTACCGCAAAGTTTGCTGTACGCAGTGTAACGACAGCATTTCTCATTGTCTTGTTCATGAAAATAAACGTTCGAGCTTTTCCCTCGAATAACCCGACCAAAAGTGGAAACTTTACTCTGGTACCTATTGTGATGTTTGGGGTAATATCCATGTTTATCGAGGGCTTAATTGACCAGAAGGTTGGATGGGTACACCAATATCTCAGGTAGGCCGAACAATTATATTCTTAGCATGGGAGTTCCTTTTCATTCAAAAGTGTACCTGAAAGCATTTGGTTTCTCGCTAAAGATAAATATACATTTATTTTCAATATTACGCATGCAATGCAAGTTATACATCCTGCCGTCCTCAGGCCATTTTCTCTATTCTTTGGCGCGCGCTCCGCCAATTCATTTTTAAATTTACCGCCGGTAAGTCTAAATAAGTCCCGGATATTTCGCGGCACTCTGCGCGATGTTGTAAACTTTCTTCACTGTTTGAAATTGAATGGCAAGTTCTAAGTTCTTGAACACTGAAATGCTTTTGGAACACATGATGAAGTGAGCTGATGAATGATGCAAAGTTTATCAGCCTTGGTTTTAGGTCTCAAGCATTTCCATTTAAAATAGGTTACCCTGCATTTGTCTCCTTATAAAAGTCCTTTAGGAAATAACTCTCCAGATGTGGTTAGGAAAGGCACCCCCTTTGTAGGTTTGCCTTGTAGTGGTAGTTAGTCATGGAAATTTACTTCTAAGCTTTGTTTTTTCTAAAAATTTTATTTCCTTAGGTGTGAAATACAAGATCAAACCCTGGTATTCCTCTTTGAGGCAGGTCTGCCAATGTACCTGGGATTTCTTATTCATGTTGCTCTCTACTTTATGGTACTTGCAAAAGGACTTCGGTACTGCGCACCAGGGCCAATCTTACATATTCCATTAGATTAACAGAAGAGGCTGAACTTATGCGATCAACTACTGAGTTAGAAATCATATCACCTTTGTTTCCGAAGCTAACAAGATGTGAGTTGAAAGCTGCATCTGTATTGGTTGCGAGGCCAAATATTGTTTGATTCATTGCTTGTTCTAGTTTTGGAGCCTTGATGCATCCTGAGCCTGAAAGTGGCAATTATGGATCGTTATGCGTAGAGGAAAGACTTTGCTGTTAAGGCCTGGTTTAGAGGCTGGCCTAATTAAAAATTGAAAAATTGCCGCATGTGGTAGCCATGGAGTGTTAATAGTTTTTTTTTTTAAAGTGTTAATACTTTAAACACACCTAGGGATGGCAGTAAATTAAGCTTTCATCTACTCCTTCTTTCTATCGATCATTAGGAAGCACAAATCAGTGAAGGGATAACAGTCAGTGAGTTCGTCGCATTTTATATAAGGATACTAGAAGTATGTGTTCATTATTATCAATGGTTAACGTTTTCGACGCTTACGCTCAACTTGCGTAATGCAGTTTCATCAGTCCTATTATTAGAATAAAGAGCATACGCTCAAAGCTGCACAATAAAAGCTGTAACAACATCAGAAGTCATAAATGGTTGTGAATATGTGATAATCGAAAGTATGAACTGCAGATGAAGAAATGAACATGAAAGTGATCTTCGCAGTAACGAACACTACGCAAGCAGCATTGAAAATAAGTAATCTCCTTGTTATGCTATAAATAAAATAATCTCCATGTTATGCTATGCAGTGAAGACTTACGAACGAATATCGCACTAAAAACAAGGTCATAACAAAAATTAACAACTCAACGGACGGAGGTTTGCATGCAGCTGATGCGCGTAAGTCGTACGAGTTGACTCCTTTACCGTTGAAAACCGATCCACCTTGTACATGAGAGTTCTCATCTTTTAAAAAAGAATCTGACTCAACAACTACGAAGGATGTGAGCGGCGTAACGAAGTTGTACTTCAATGAAATATTCAGCGCTTCTGATTTCAGCCGAGCCTTTTCCTCTAAATTTTCCGTTATCAGGAGATCGAGTAACAGCTCCTTAATTTTCATGTAAGCCCACAGCCTCTCAGGAAAGTCTTTGACTAACACCTCATCTGGTGAGACGGTTAGGTTTTGGAGAGTGTGTGTCAGAGTATAAAAGACGGGTTTGATGCTAGAGATACCCCGAATATTAACAGGCATCAGCCTTGAATCACTGAGTCCTTCCTTAAGCTTTCCAGACACAACAAGCTCCGATCCATCGTTATACTGAGAAAATTCTGTAGCTGTGACTTGTGTGTTATCTACCATGTCCTGAGGATACTCGAATCGAACTCGCACCAACAGAGGCGTGCTGATCTCGTCAAAAAATCCTTCTAGTTGACTCGCAGCGTCCTTAGCTAGATAGATTCGACGAGCTTTACCTCCATTTTCAGCTGATAGCGCAGTAAGCAAATTCATATTTAGGTTAAAGCCAAATCCTAGAGAAAATATGGAAGCTTTTAACGTATTCGCCTTAAGAATGTTAGCACGGATCTGCTGACCGTCGACAACCCCCTCGGTTGGCTCACCATCTGTCAGAAACAGTACAATCGGAAAATTGCTTGCAGCGAACGAATCCCCCTGACGAGCTATATCTCCAAGGAGGTTTAGAGCCAAAAGAAGAGCTTCGTTGATGTTGGTACTGCCTCCTGCGTTCACGTTTTGTTCGACAAAGTTTTTACCAGCTTGAATATTGTCACTAGTTGCGAGCGAGGTTGAAGGTCTCCACTTTACCGTATCACCATTAAATAGGACGATGTTAAATGAATCGTCTGCGCGAAGCTGGTCGAGGATAGCTAACATGGCTTGGCGCGTTTGCTCAATCTTTTGACCTTCCATTGAACCACTGATGTCGATGACGAAGACCACGTTTTTTGGCAATGGATTTAAACCACTGGGAGAGAAATACTGAACGAAAAAGGAGTCAAGCACTTGGATTACTCCGGCATTATTTTTGTGATGAACGTTGTACCTGCCATGAGGAAAGAAAACTATAGTAACTATAATGCAGTATGCATATTTTCCATACTGTTCCCTACACATTTTCTAAGGTGCTGACAAGCCGGAGAATTTGTTTAACATCACGAGTTCCTTTAGCTGGTGATCATTTCCTTTATTCTTGCTACCTTTATGTTTGATTCATTGGTTATATTGTATGGAGAAATTAGATGCATGTCACTCTTAGGAGTTAAAGGGTTTGAGGAGAGAATGACGATACTTGTGCTCTATGAAGCAACCGCAAAAAATTGCCCCGAATCGTTTTCATTGGGTACAAAAGCATTATTTTGTTCGATCTTGTTGCGCTGCTCGCCTCCTTGAATCATTTTCTCGTGAACCTTCTGAATGAAACAATGCAAAGCGTGTCGTCTAAAGAAGCAGTTTCAATGAAAGTTCCATCTTCTGTTTTAAAAAAACCAATACAAGATTTCAATTGCTGAATAGGTCTGCAACTGTCAAATCTTTGGTTTCTGAAGGAATTCAGAGAAAACGGGAAAAACTGACATTAGGAAGGTCCTAAAAATAGATTACGAGTAATAAGTCTACAGAATTCGATAAAATCGAATAACAACGAAATTTCTTACCGTATAATGAAATCGCCATCAACCCCCGCATTTCCATGTTGTCTCTGTTCGGTTTCACTTGGACTGTATGTTATACGCGCCGACGTCGGCGATGTTTGAGTCACCACTGCTGATGGATTTCCCTTCTCCAGTACATCGCTTGGATCTTTGCGAATTTTCATGACCTCTACGAGAGACAAGTCTTGCGGTTCTTCGATGTCGACATTAACATTTAAAACGGGAACAATCTGTTTTGGACGAATGCTGATTGTTTCTTCGTAGAATCCTTTTCGCCTTATAAGCAACTGTTGATAGTTAAGATGAAACACAGCAGTACTGTTTGGCGCTATATTAATTGCAATTTCAAACACGTCCATTCCTCGCAAAGCCTGTTGAGATTTAGTGGAACTCACAAGGCCTGTGTTTAGGTTGTTGTTCTTGGCTTTCTCGTATTCCGTTTTCGCTACGTTCTTTTCCTTCACACGCGCAATGAAATGTTTTCCATTCACTACCATCGAGAAGTTGGAGATAAAAGCTGTTTCCGGGAGGTGGACGACAAACTTAGCCTCACGATTGTTGGGAGATTTGTTTTGCAACTTACTTGTTACAAGCGTGTTCGCAAAGCGTGAAGATATTTTCGATGTTATAAGCAAACTTAAAGGAATCAACTCTGCATTGTGTATATCCCTACGTTCTCGATTCAAGCGTTTGTCGAGGTCTGCCGTGAAAACTTTTGTGTTTGAATTCTGCACTAACCCGAGGAGAACACCGAGGAAGACGATGTACAAAGTCATCTTCTCAATTTGTCCTTAGGCATTCGGCAGTCCGTCACGGAATCGACTTCACTTCAAAATGCAAATACTCCGTGCTTCCGGTCACGTCCACAAAGAATTAGTATTGGTCAACGGAACACACCAACCAAATAATGAAGATGACGCGTGGGGTCATGTTATGTCTGTGAGTCGATATTTGAATAAATCTATTAGTTATCGTCGGAAAAGTGCAAATTCCTGAGCTTCACGTTTATCAACCGTTATATCGATAAAAAATAGGCAATGAATGTTTTCGAGAACGAAAAGCTTACTGGAACTTTTTCCCGATAGTGACAAAAGGATTTGGAAAGGGTAGTTTAAAAAACCAGCGAAAAACCCTTTCGTTAAAAAAAAAAAAAAAAAAAAAAAAAAAAAAATTCGCTACCGGACCCTCATACGATACTTTATTAAATAACTTCTCCGATGTTTTAAATGAATACCGAGGGAACCTTGCAACGTAGAATGGGAGAGCCGATAACATTGCATAAACTGCACAATTTATGAAATATGACCATGCAGAACCGCGAGAGTGAATGCAAGTTGAATACAGAATAACAATGAGTCCATGGCCAGTTATAGAATTAATTAAAATTTTCTATCTTTTTGAAGAGGAAGTTAAGTCAAGAAATATTGGTCAACTTGCATCAATATGACTATGTTTGCTCATGTCTGGAAATTGTAACTACCTGTGGAACCACAAGCCACTGTCCTTGGTTCCTGTTTCTCGTTTCGCACAATATGTATTTCTTGAATTCTGTTTTCAATCTTAGGTTTTAAAAGTAGTTTTCCATTAAAATCGGTTTGCATGTCGATGTTGTCGCTGCGTATTACTAGTGGAATGCTCGCTATAGCAAGATTTGGAAATCTCTTTTCTAAGTAGTTCCTTATGTACCTTATAACGAAAACCTACTATCTACGTTCACTCCCTTTTTTTCACTTTTTTTTGGAATGTAGTTCCTCACTTGCTTGTTATCTCCAAAGAGATAATACTTGCAATATGTAATAGTTGAAATATGTACTTAATGAGCTTATTTTACCAGTCTGTGTTGTATGATAAGTATACCTTTACAGAAGCTTTTGTAACGACTAAAAAAAGAAATGTCGCTGCCAGAATCTCTCGCTACTGCAAAAACTCAATAGAGTTACTTGTTCGATCTCCTACCTCATCTAGTATTACCTATTCTGCTGTCCATTTAAAATCATTTCTACGACCTCCCAAGAAAGGTAACATGAACATAACCATTGCTTTTGATAACAAGACGAACTTCATGTTGCTAATGCCCCATAAACTAAGATGACCGCTTATTTGATGTGCTACCAGGATGGTCGTAATACGGAAGCATTTAAAGCCATATTAGTGAGCGCCATCAGGATTATCGTCAACGGGAAGGTTGGATGAGCTGGTCAAGAGAGGCTAATGCTCTCTTGTTTCCCGATGTATCGCTACGTTATCCCTGTTATCTGGACCTGCTATAATTATGAAATAGAGAAACACGTGAATAAGGAACCCAAGGTACAGTGGCGGACCTGCCTCAATCAGAATTCTCAGGCTGTCATTCTTGATTGTACTCCTAAGAAAGAAATACGTTCAGGGTTAAATTATCAAAAAAACATCGCTGATAAGTATTACTGTGTTAAACACTTTACACTTTCACTCCAGTCCTCCGCCTGGTTAATCACTCTCGAAATAGGTTACAGAATGTCATAAGGAGTTTCTGTGCTGCTCTGTCTCGAAATTTAAGGAGTATTTCAAAAGATCGTTAATAACATTGTAACATGGCCAATGTGTAAGCGCGTCAATTCTGTTTCAAGAGGGAGACTTCGCGGTGACAACGACAGTGGAGTGAGATTATCATGAAGAGTAAAACGCTAAATTTAACATTCAATTAATTGGACGCTAGTTTTCGTTCATTTGAACCCCACACGACCATAAGGCGGCCTCTTGATTTTTTAAAGATCTGTTGTTATCTTTGCTACTATAATCTTCTTAATGGTAGAAAGGGAGGCCGTTACGAACCTTAGGAGTTGATCCAGTGGTCCAACTTTCTGATCAATCAAGCCCTCGCCGAACATAGAGAAAACTCCCAACATCACAGCAGGTACAAGAAAGTGATTTTTGCTGCTCGTCTGGTATGAAAAAGTGCGGGCGTCTATATTTATGAATAAGAAAATGAGAAATGCCGTCGTTAAACTGCGCACGAAATATTTTAAGGCTTCCCAAAGAATGCATGATCGGTGGAGCGGGACTTCTGATTCAGGAGAAGCCCAAAAGGAAAAGATAGCGGCCTCCAACATCCAGCAAACAAAACCAACTGCGCCTAAAAGACAAACCTATGGAAAAAAGAAGAAATGTTAATTACGAAGCATAAAACTGTGTCTGCTGATGACTGATGGTGATGCGGAAGCACTGACTTGATTTTGTTTTCGAATTGAACGTACTTACACCTGGAAACCTCGCTTGAAACCGCGCTTTAGAAACTTTGCAATTTTGACTTCTTTCTATGCTCATAACTTCTTTCGCTGGATTTAAGTTTGCGAACGTTTGCTTAAATTGTTGAAAATGATACAATTAGTCTGTACCTGTGTAGATTTCGGGCTGGACGGGAAAATCTAGACCGTGGCCAATCTCGATTTCAGCCAATCAAATCCTTCAATTTGGTTGTTTCCAGTCTTTTTGGGGAACGGCCGCATAATAATGCTATGTACTTATTGACAGACGCGCCTAGACCTCAAGCCAAATATTTTCCCGTCCGGCCCGGCCAGACCCAATCAATAAGGATGTTATCATATGACCACTTCGAAAATTTTGTTTCGACCTGAACGCTATAGACGGGCGCACGCGGGACAACCACAAAAATAGATTCTACAGTGAAAACTTATACTTTGCCTTTTTTAGAGTCAGAAGAAACTTAGAATTCATCGAAACGCGCTCTTTTTTTGTTTTTGTTTTTGTTTTTTATTTTTTTATTTTTTCTTTTCAGTTTTTGCAAAAAAATAAAGCCGTATATAGGGCCGGACGGCTTTTCCCAGACAAGCTCACGTCAACCCGTTCGGCCGAGCGGGGCCTTACGGGTCATATTTGATGAATTAATTTACCCTATTAGATCACCAATACAAATTTTATTCCTACCATTATTTTTACTCCATTTGATTTCGCTTGTCCATCGTCATCCAAATAGTTGTGGTGAAGGAGACTGGCACCGCAGAAAACAATAAAGAAGTTGACGATAATGGCAAATATAGCTACCCACGATCCAATCTTAAATGTATTCACAACTTGAAGACCACAGAGTACAGGGGGGATCAAACATAAAGAACCAAGCGCATATCCAAAGCCTCTTCTTATTTGGTTGCGAGGCTCTACAGCTTGAACTCGAGCATCTTCTGAATTACTCCGGTCGCCTTGACCCTGAACTATGGAATGGTTCAAATCATCTTGTTCTTGATCAGCGGAATTACTCGCGCTTCCGTGACTGGCAACTTCGATGGAATCGTTTGGGTCCACTTGATATTGAGCCCCGGAATGGCTCAAGTTATCCTGTTGTTGATACGTGGAATTGTTCGCGCTGCCTTCATTTTGAACCTCGAACGAATGTTCAAGAAATAGCAACGCACACATTAGACGATAGTCTATTATTAGTGCTTCGTATAAACTCGTAAATACATCAGACAAACTGCCCAGGTCTCCCTTGATTCCGCTTAGGTGTATGTCATTCTCTGTGTTTACCTGAGTATCTATCCATTGGATGAAGTTGAAGAAGGACAGCAACCTAAAATAAAACTCAACATTTTCTTCGCGTCCCTGGCGTATGATAGTGTTCCGCAGATAGAGATACGCACCTGCTTGAGTAACCTTCTGAAGAAGGAAAATAATCTTATCTATGATAGTAAAGAGCCATGGTATTTTTGTCAAGCTCCTCTTATCCTTGTCTATTTTCCTGTTACTCAGAGACGCACATAGCAGCACGATCTCAATAACCATCAGAGGAACTGTTAATAAAGAAACTACCAAACCCATGGAAGGCTGGTGTCGACCCAGAGTCGCTTGACGGACAATTTCATCGTCTGGTACACGAAAAAACATTTTAACACCGATGAGAATGAATATTATTCCAATCAGAGGGATCGTGGAAAGCCGGTAGTATTGTCTGACCTGCAGGTCATTTTCAGTATTAGTTGCACTTTGAAGTATATTAACAACGATCACAAGTGCTCCTACAAAAAATATGAATAAAGTACCTCTGGACGAAGATAGTTTGGCACATGGCTTGTAGAAAACGCCAAGAATTCCAAGGAAGAATATCAGCCAGTAGAAGAGTGCAGAGAAACTTGCAGCAATAACTTGGGATGCAATTGTTGTCTTGTTTACCATACTAAGGTTTGTAATAACAGAAAGTTCGTCTTCACCAAGGCCTTCATGCTCACTGCAGGTGAGTGTCAGAGTCATCTTAGCTATGAAAGTTTCCAGTTTCTTGGAAAGTGATTCCAAGATGCTCAAGAATCGAAGGAAGTTAGCTATTGTTCGTTCGTGGTACTCTCTTAAATGATGCTTCCGGGGAAGTTGGTCAAATTTCTGTCTAGGAATTTGTTACCTTAAGTCACGCTTCTAGTCATATAATTAAATTCATTATCCTGTTGTTGATTATCTCTAGCCGTTAGCCCGAATATAAGCCCAAAGAGGATACCAACCGATTAAAGTTTGAATGAAGAGGTTGTCGCGTATACCGACCTAACTGTTTGCCTTAATGAAAAGCCTGTTCAAATATTATTACACAGCAACCTCTCGCCAGTGGGATACACGCATGGATCACTTGTCTCATGCACTATTTTGGATTACAGTGAAGTAACGTCTCTGTCACGCATGAGAGGGTGTGAAGGAGGAAGATAGGATAAAAAGCAATGATCAATGAGGTATTGGCCGAAGCAGGAGTTTATCTGTTCGAGCACCAACCAACCAGCATTACACAGTCATATTCGTTCAAAGCTTTCTCACATTGATCAGAACAATTTTAACGTGGTATTTTGGATTCGCAATAGCATCGTGGCTAACCTTGTTTTCTGATGGTCTGATTTACCATCGAACGTTGGCATACGAGGGAGAAGGGAGGAGGGTAAAGTAGAGCTGGCGAATGGTTCTTCCTCAAACGTTTCCAACTTTTAACCATTACAACTATATAGTTGAAAGTAAGCTGCTCATCGACGTTTCCGCCATGTTCGCAAGAAATCCGTCTAGCGAAATCCGTCAGAGTGGGAAGTCAATAACTGTCATCCAACTTAAATCAAAATATTTTAATCGACACCTACGCTTAATTTGGTGGCAGACATTCTAGATCAACTATGGCCGGACTATTTAAGCGTCGAAGTCAAACATTCGTGTCGTATTAATATTAATTATATAAAACATCTGGACATATGCTCTGAAACAAACGTCAAGTATACTCAAGATAAGAAGGACGAGGTAGAAGAGCAGTGCATAAAATCCAGCGATAAATTGAGACGCAGTAATTGTTTTGTTTACATCATTTGGGGTAATATTCAGCTTGTGAAATTGTTGACTTGAACTAGATTTAACGAATGAAGGCCTTTCTTAGGAACACAGCGACCGGTAACTGTGGTAAACCCATTGCTCACCTTGTGTGACGCTACAGCTAACGGGTTCGTGGAAGAAATCTGCATAAATTTATTTCTAGGAATCTAGAAATATCTCTCGACAAATCAGTATCGAAATGTTTTTTTTCTCTTTTTCCTTGAGATGATTCAGCGTTAAGCTAGAAAGTGACCAATGAAAATCCTGGTTTTGCAGCTGTTTTCCTTGTTTAAGTCGCTGTTATGCAGGTTAGTAACGTTCTTCTCTACAGTTATAGAGTCATGTCGTCTCTAAGTTATGCAGCTCAACACCCTTAGCTCTTGCCAATGTCATTGACGTCAATGTGGCAAAACTTCCCCCTTTTCTAGGAATAGTATTACGTCGCAGATGTGTTCAAGTAAAAGAGAATGCATACAAAACGATAAAAATATAAACTAATTAAATAAAGAAGTAACTTAATGAATAACTGAAATAGCATTTAAGATTTGGACAAAGTCATTATTTTTTATGACGGACTTCAGTGTTATCCTTCGCCCGCACTCTAATTATTACTTAGATATTTTTAATGTTATATAAACTGTCAAAGCATTTGGAAAGTTGTCTTCGAGCGTTAGCCTCGGGGTCATCATTTTCCCAGTCGTCTTTAAGCCCAAATGCATGTTTGGGCTTTCTCGCCAGTAATAGGTGGAAAATGTGACGCCCGGAAAAATTAGTTTCGGCTGCTGCGCAGTGGATGACAAGTTGTATGTGAGTTCGTCGAAAATACTTCCGGAAAAAATCTATGGCGTCAGTAAGGTTAGCCCCTCAAATTGCTAAATTTGAAGAGCTGATCAAAAGATTTTAATCGACGCCCAAGCTTAATTTGGCGGCAGACATTCTCAACAATGGTCGGACTATTGAAGCATCGAAGTCAAACAGTCGTGTCGATTTACATATATTTACAGCCATTATTCGTGAAAATGGGCTCATTGAAATACCAAAACGTTTTGTAATCAAAGCCAAATTCTGCTATGTTCTCTAAAGTTATTCCAGCACTGCATGTATTTGCCATATTTGGTACTCTACTTAGCCGTGATACGCCAGATCTAAATCATTACCGCCATTGCATAAATCGTGGAAAACGGATTTGGAGGAACCATTTGCAAAGCAGCTATGTTATTTTTTTACCTCTATTTCGTAATGTTGTTAAACGGAGTATACAATGATTTACTTACGCATACTTACATATTCATATATAGAGTAGTTAAAGTGTTTGTCAGCTTTTTAATTATGAATTCATGAACAATGCACCCATGTAACCAAAATGTGTGCGAGCTCAACTACGTTTGACAATCTCTGCTTGTATAATAACAAAATGCAAAACCATATGAATCAGAAATCCAAGGTACATCGGTGGACCAGCTGCAAACAGGAGATCCAGACTTGCATCATCGATTTCCTTTCTATAAATAAAAACGAATTTTGTTTACACCTCATTAAAGCTTTTACGCACTTCATCCTTTAGAAACCTGGGAGACTAACGATTACATGAGCAGTAACCCGCTCTATGTTATATTATGTACAAATTGAATATGTATGAATGTTATAATTACGACGAAGAGGCGAAGAAAGTGATAGTGGCAATAAAGATGATAGAGAGGCTGCGAAGGACTCAATACTGATGCCAGTGATATTTGGAATGGTTAAGGTTTTGGCAATGCTGAATTCCAAAGTGATAACCATGACTGTGGTGTTGGAGGCAATTGCAACTGTATAAGTAGGGGTATAATGTATTGGTGGTGGCAACAGTTTGGGAATGATAATGACATAATGACATTCATTAAGTTGAAGGCAACGGTGATGGTGTTTGTTAAAGTCACGGTGGTGATGGGTGGCAATAATGGCAATGGTGATGCTGACGGTAAAGATGCTTGAAAAGTTGATAGTGGTATTGGTGTCAATGGTGCTGCAAGTGCTGATGGTAACAATGTTACTTGTGTTGCTGATAAGTACTGCTATGCTGACAGCAATGGAGGAGATACTGTGTGTTGGTATTGATGATGTCTATAAGGATGGTCACGGTAAGTGGTCAACGAAATGATATAAGTGATAGTGATTTATAAATAGACATTCCGGATTGGAATTCTGAGTGCAAGTGAAGAAAAGCGTGAGTAACTGATGGAAATACAGCTATCGGGCGTGGAATCAGGAGGGAAGTGATGGAGATACACCGAGAAATTAAGAGGATGGAGAGGAGAAGAAGAATGGAAGAAAGTATCACTAAAAAGACAAAGGCTTTATATGTTATCGACTTGAAAATTGCTTAACAGAGTGAAGTAACGTAAACAATGACAACGGATGTTCAAAATGGTACTACTTTTCATAATGATTTTGCAACAATATGTATCTACCTACTCATGCATGGGGAAATAAATACGAAGTTACAAACCTCAGTCTACTGTCAACCGGTCCTACATACTGATCGATTAAACTCTCTGCAAAAGCTCCAAATATCGTTAATATCATAGCAGGCACTAAGAAATGATTTGCAATCATTTCCGAATTTTTACGTGCCAAGGATTGCACCTTAACTTTCAAAAAAAGACCCATCAGAAACGCTGTGGAAATGCCGCGAGCAAAATACTTCGCTGCGGCCCAGGCAAAGTATCGGGAGACGTCGCTTTCAATTCTGCCATTTCCGATAGCTGCCCAATAACCAGAGATTGGTGCTTTGATTATCCAACAGGTGAGTCCCACAGCTCCCAAAAAACATACCTGCAACAGATAGGAGAAGAAGAATTCGAGAACAGAATCTTTGAGTTGTTTCGTTCTTTTCCTTTTTACCCTTTGGGAAAAGACAGTCACGCAATAATCCTCACTTCAATTTATAGCAGATTATAGCGTATACAGCGTCACTTTGTTCGATAGATTTCTCGATAGCACTGTGATGATCCGGCCTCTCTTTACACCATTTAAGATAGGAAACATACTAAACAACTAGACTCACAGTTCATACTCTAAAGCCTAAGTTAGCACAGTGATTAAGTGACGTTAAGCTGCACAGCCAAAATAAATGGGAACCTACCATGCTTTGGACTCCAGATGATTCCTGATGCCTTTCCCTATCACTAGTTAAATCATTTCTACATAAAAAGGCTGCTCCACAACCAATAATGGTAAAATTTACTATAATGGCAAACACATGGACCCATGGAGGGATATGAAGGTTCTCAACATGATACAGTGCTGTGCAGATTGGTGCAGAAAGACTCAACAAACCAAAAATATACCCTGCAGCTCTGTATTGCTCTTTTTTCAAGGTCATGTTTCTATTAGGTGTGTCGTTTACTTCGTCGTAATTGTCCGCCATTTCGTCCTCTAATGAATGCTCAAGGAACAGAAGTGAGCATAGAAGGCGGTAATCTATTATCAAGGCCTTGTAAAATACTGTAAGGATATCGAACCAAGCACTGTAAGACAGGTTAGCGTGACTTAACTTGATATCGGTGTCTTCGTTTACTTGGGAGTCTACCCATTCGATGAAATTGAAAAACGCCAAGGTCTTCAAATAAAACTTGGCATTTTCTTTGTACCTCGGACAGATTGTCCTATATCTTAACAGTAAAATATATACAATTGCTTGGACAACCTTCTGGACAAGAAACGTTGTCTTGTCTGCGAGAACAAGAGCCCAAGACTCTGGATTGCTTTTGTTCCTCGAAACACTAGCTGCAGCAAGGAGAAATATCTCGACGATGATCAAAGGGATGGATATTACTCCGACAACAAGTCCCATTGAGGGTTGCTGTCTTGCTAAGGTAGTTTGATTGGCCGTTTCTTCAGGTTTGGAGAAGAAGAATACCGCTCCAACCAAAGCAAAGACGATTCCAACGAGAAGAGCCGTAGGCAGGCGAAAGTATACTCTCACCTCTAAGTTGTCCGAATTGCAGAGCACGTTTACACAGGCTAACATCGTCCCTATTAAAAAGAGGAGAGAGGTGGCTCGAGATGAAAACATCTTGACACATGCTCTGAAACAAACGCCAAGTACACTCAGGATGAGAAGGACGAGGTAGAAGAGCAGCGCATAAAATCCAGCGATGAATTGAGACGCAGTTACTGTTTTGTTTACATCATTTGGGGTAATATTCAGCTTGTGAAATTCGGCATTCCATTCGCCAGATTGTGGGTTTCCGTTTCCAAGATCTAAATCCATGTTGACTTGAACGAGATTTAACAAACGATGGCCTTTCCTAGGAACACAGCGACCGGTAACTGTGGTAAACTCAGTTCTTGCTCGCCTTGTGTGACGCTAGAGCTAACGGGTTTGTGGAAGAAATCTGTATAAATTTATTTCTAGGAACCTAGAAATATCTCTCAACAAATCAATAACAAAATGTCGTTTTTTTCTTTTTCCTTGAGATGATTCAGCGTTAAGCTACCAAGTGATCAATGAAAATCCTGGTTTTGCAGCTGTTTTCCCTGGTTAAGTCGTTGTTTTGCAGGTTAGAGACTTTTTTTTCTAAAGTCACCAAGTCATGTCTCTAACTTATGAAGCTCAATACCTTTAGCTCTTGAAAATGTCATTGATGTCAATGTGGCAAGACTTCCTCCTTTTCTAGGAATAGTATTACGTCGCAGATGTGTTCAAGTAGAAGAGAATGCATACAAAACGATAAAAATATAAACTAAGTAAATAAAGAAATAACTTAATGAATAAATGAAATAGAATTTAAGATTTGGACAAAGTTATCCTTTCATGACGGAAATAAACTCAATTCTGGTACATGAAAGATATGCGTGTGTCAATAAACACGCCCTTCGATAAGATAAGCAGTATTCGGTTTCAAGCTAGGTTCTAATTAAAAAATAACATAAACGTTCGCAGTGTTGAGTTCTTAAGGTTCGCAACGTTCAATTCTTAAGGTTTGCAAGTTTCAGCTCTTTAGGTTTTCAAGGTTCAGTTTTGAGATTCGTGTTCCATTTCTTCACGTCCACCGTCTTCTGTTTAATTCTCTTTCACAGAGTTGTTGTGGCACCTTCGCTAAGGCAAAAAATAGTCCCCCGTGTTTCAAAGGATAATTTCAGTCAACATCTATATGAGAAAAGCCATTCTTACGTGCGTTGAAAACCTCGAAATGAACAACTCGCTAAAATGGGCTCTTTTCATCAAAGTAAGCGGTCAGATAACAAGCGATACACTGTGGAAGTAAGGGAGAGTTGAAAAGACTGACCCCCGCTCCGCGGACTACCCATTGACCCGCGCTCCGCGGACTAACCCACGGAATACTCCGCAGACTACCCCACGGACTACTCCGCGGACTACCCTGCGGACAACCCCCACGGACTATCCTAAATAATCAACCAAATTTACTTTTACGGGGGAAGAGACACAAGCCCACCTGCTAAACCTACACGATCAAAACAGCCACCATATTCTTTTCACCGACTTCCTCGACCCAGTCTTTTTTTTTATCATGTTCGCCCCATTCTTCATCAGCCATTAGTTTAAACACTTTTTCCACAATGGACGATCAGTAAGTGCTGTAGAATATTAATCTTTTTAATCTGCTTCAAGTGTTTGCCGTCGACATTAACATTTGCTAAAACGTAGCTCTTTTGAACCTTCCTTAAATCTAGAGAAATCGAGATCATAGAAATTGACACCCCGCAAGATGAAAGGACTACAAACAGGTGAACTAAATTTACTTTTTCATATTCTTGGCTGATATGTATTGCAAATGAACGCAAAATTTTCCCTTTTCAGTTTGAAATGTTTGTAATCATATTGTAATCCAAGTAATCACTCCACTGGTAATCACTGATGGCCGATGAAGAATGGGGCGAATATGAAAAAAAGACTGGGTCGAGGAAGTCGGTGAAAAGAAAATTGCGGCTGTTTTGATCGTGCAGGATTTGGACCCCCCGCGATATGGATCCCGTTCCAAATCCGTTAGCGAATTTGGACCCCCTTACGGTCCAAAGCCGCTAGCGGATATGGACCCCCCTTCGCAGATTTGGACCCCCCTACCAAACTTTCCTTTTAAGCATCCTTTTTATCATATTTGGTAACTAATTGTATTTGCAAGCTTTTTTGTCGATGTTCTTTTCAATCATAACACAACATTTATCAATAAAGGTAAAAAAAAACAAAAAACAGCCATTTCGTTCCAATTCTACCGCATTTATTATAGCGAGTCGTACAGTATACGCAAGAATTAGATGTGAACAAACTACTCCATTCGAGCTATTGAAATTGTTACAATAAATCTTTGCTTCTTCTGATGCGAATCAACATTTGTACGAAACGTCATAACAATAGTGGGAACTATTGCGTCCAGTCACAAAAATAACTCAGTCTGATTTTCTAAAATAATAACATTAAACAGTTTTTGAACAAGAACGAAGAAAACTCCTATTACAAGCCGTTCGTAAAGCCTATGATAAGTAAAAATGTTTCTATTCTGAACTATTGGAACTCTCAGCTTATTTTCAGGTACAAATCAACATTAATGTCAACTTCTTAACAAAGGTGGAGACTATTACATCGAACTCAATCTTATTTTCTAATTTTAACGATTATTAGCTGTTGAAGGATCCGAAATGTTTCCTTACTCGGAACTGGTTAGATCAAATGACCACCACAAACCGTATAATATTAAGCCAAGCTTTAATAATTATTCGATCTAAAAGAAATACATTTATAATTCGCAATTAGAACAAACGCAAATCAAGTCTTTATCTTGTAACTAAATTCTAAAATTTCAATATAAACTTACTTCTGTGGCGGGTCGTTACAACAGTCTCACTTTACGGGTTAGCAGATTCTCCAGGTAAGCGGATTTAGAGACAGAAAAACGATAACAAAATAACTTCTTTCTCACTTCGATTCTGCTGAAAAACTGACTTAAAACATAATAATCTAACGCTTTTAAATTAATCTATTGAATTAATGTCAATCACGATTCTTGTCATCGAATAAATCTGTCAACACGAGGCAACGCCTATTTATTAAACGAAACACGAAATAACACCTTAACAATTACGAAGACGTCTAGAGTCTGGCAATCTGCAGACAATGCAGAGCCACTCGCCCTCCGGGGCAGTCTTAAATCCCTCGCAGCTCATGTGTAACCATTCCTCGCACAACTCGCACTGTACCACGTCGTCCCAACACTCGGGCATTGAACAATGACAAAATAAATTAGTGTCTCAAATTTGTCTCTTATTGAATCTAGCGGTGTTCGACTATGGGTGATAAGGTTCAAAAACGACCTTTCTCCAGACATTAAACTAAATTCTTGCCCATTTTCGGGGGGGGGGGG